GTCTTGTGACAGACGTTCAAGCAAGGGAAAAAATGAAATTTCTTCACACAAAATGAGAAGTAACTAAGTGCATTGACCTCACATCACAAGAATACCGAATGAACCATAAACGGTAACTTTCCTCCATTAAGAGCAAAACAAAACAAAAACAAAAACAAACGCGAACCTAATTCGTAAATGAAAGGCGTGATTTAAATGCCCAGAGATACAACTGACTAGAGTTAACAGGAAATGCACTCGTGGTTTAAAGTTTCGTGTATCTGGGTACAGTTTCTCGGGAGGAATGGCCATGTACTGTGATGGAGGACCCTAAGGCATCCGTTGTTCTTTTGTGTCCATTGTTAGACGCACACGCACGGACAGACAGGCACGTACAGATGCTTATACATACGTACTTACATGCATACATAAATACATGCAGACAGACAGACAGACCTTCGCACGCATGGCTATGCAAGATATAGCCAATAACCATCACCATAACCAAAGGCAAACATGCAAATCTCTCTCTTTCACTCTCTCAAACACACACACACACACACACACACACACACACACACACACACACACACACACACACACACACACACACACACACACATAGGTTCACACACACACACACACACACACAGAGGTTCACACACACACACACACAGGTTCACACACACACACACAGGTTCACACACACAAACACACAGGTTCACACACACACAGGTTTACACACACATTCATAAACAAACACAACCACAACACACAGATGCCCACAAGTAAATAATACCGTAAACATAATCGCATATAACCACCTATAAATTTCATTCTCCTTTTTTCTTATTCGGACAACGATCTTTATACTAATACGCACAACGCTTCCAGGTTTTTGGTGACGACGCAAGTGGAATATTAAAGAATGGCAGTCATAGCATTTCTTGCTCTCTCTCTGCTGTTATCTGCAGCCACGGCGCAGAATGGGGGTAAGTTAGTTATTTTTGATGAGTTGTGATTAGTCGATTCCATATTTTAGTTATGTTATGATTATGCTTGTTAGATTGGCTTAGTTCGTATACTCCGTTTACTTCGATGTATTATGACTGTTGTAAGATATACAACATACATTTGGACATACCATAACGCTATTAATAGAGCTGCTCATGCATGTCTTTTGGGGCAAACAGCTATTTTTTGAGCTTATGGTGTAAGATATATGTGTGTGTGTTTGTGTGTGAGTATATATATATATATATATATATATATATATTTATATTTATATATATATATATACATATATATATATATATATATATACATGTATATATATATATATATATATATATATATATATATATATATATATATATATATATATATATATATATGTATATATATATATGCACATGCATATATATATATATATATATATATATATATATATATATATATATATATATATGTGTGTGTGTGTGTGTGTGTGTGTGTGTGTGTGTGTGTGTGTGTATGTGTATATATATATATATATATATATATATATATATATATATATATATATATATGTGTGTGTGTGTGTGTGTGTGTGTGTGTGTGTGTGTGTGTGTGTGTGTATTATGATGTATAGAAAAAATCATAGACTTATACTGAATTTTAAAAAAACAAACGCCACTACGACTTGAACCCGATTTCTTCCGCACGAGTTCGACATATGTAGTTAAGTTTTACCTTTAAAACACGTCCTCGAATTTACGACCAATAAAATTCGAAATACCTTACACATAGGCCTACAAGTACCCACATTTTAACGGATAGACCTAAGTGATACTTACAAACTTTGTAATACGACTGGAACAACACCTTTCACGTTATATGATCCGTCTTTGTTGCTACGAAAACCAGAATGTAAAACTTGTTCATTTTCACTCTTTTCGAAGTTACTTACTGGGTTTCGACTTGCTGCCGTGAGTTCCTCGTGAAAATGAGAGGATATAGAGAAAATGTTCATAGATATTTCTCTTTTAAAAAGGTGTCTTCCTCGTTGTCTCTCTGTCAGTTTGTATGTTTTTGTATGGGTGTCTGTGTATGTTTATTGGTTTGACTGTCTTCCTGCCTGTCTGTGTTTATTGGTGTATCTGTCTTCCTGCTTGTCTGTGTTTATTGGTGTATCTGTCTTCCTGCTTGTCTGTGTTTATTGGTGTATCGTGTGTATCTACGTCTGTCTATTTATTTATGTATCTAACTACCTATCTATCTATCCTTCTCTCTCTCTCTCTCTCTCTCTCTCTCAATCTCTCTCTCTCTCTCTCTCTCTCTATCTATCTATCTATCTCTCTGTATATATATATATATATATATATATATATATATATATATATATATATGTATGTATATATATATATGCCTCTCTGTCTAGCTATCGAAAGATCAGTCAGTTCTACCTACCTATCAATCAATCAATAATCTATCAATATCTATCATTCTATGCCCCATTTGATTTGACCTTAAACCGCCTTTGTTTTCGGTCCCTTGGAAACAATAGATTTAGACAGGTATTTATTTATTTATTTTTGTCTTTCATCGTCACACGCAAATAAATCGACTGAACGTTATCTTTTTTTCTGCATCTTGAAACTTATTTTTGTATGTTGCGTTTTTTTTTTTTGTTCTTCGTATGGATGGAATGTTGCCTTTGCAATGTTGCATTTGTCGAGAGTAATCTTTATAGCTCTAAGAAGTTTTTTTTTATTCTTGTATTTCGAAGGACAGTCTGTAATAAGCGTATTTATTGCATTTTTTTATTACGTCGCTGAAGGTGTAGTTCGTGTCAGGTTTTTTTTAGAGGTTCATGGCATGTCTGTCGGATATTCGTACACACACACGCACATGCACATACACACGCGTACATACGCACACACGCACACACACGCGTAATACGCACACACACGCGCATGCAGGCACACACGCGCACTCTCTCTCTCTCTCTCTCTCTCTCTCTCTCTCTCTCTCTCTCTCTCTCTCTCTCTCATCTCTCCCTTCCTCCCTCCCTCCCTCCCCCCTTCCCCCTCCCCCTCTCCCTCCCTCCCTCCCTCCCTCTCCCTCTCAAACTCAAAAATGAATATAAACCAAAAAAACACAGCCTAGCAACCAGTCAACCAAGAGACAGCCGTCATGCATTCAACGCCCCCCCCCAAAAAAAAAAATGCGACCACCAAGATTATCCCCCCCCCCCCCCCCCCCCGTCCATGCACAGGCACAGAAGGGTCATGCAGAGCGAGACAATTGAAGGCATTTCCGACGCAAAGCCTCATGGCGCGTCTGCATGACCGGGTCTGGTGTTTTGGTTCTTGATTTCATGGCGATCAAGAGAAGGCCGAATAAGGCGATGCTCTTTTTTTATTGTTATTGTTGTTTTTGTTGTTATTATTTTATTATTATTATTATTATTATTATTATTATTATTATTATCACTATTTGTGTTATTATCAGTGTTATTATTATCATTGATATTATCATTGTTATTATTATTATTATTATTATTATTATTATTATTATTATTATTATTATTATTATTATTATTATTTCTCTTTCTTTTGGCATGTTCTATTTCTTTAGGAATTCCTCTTTTTATTCATTCATTATTATAATTTTTTATTTTTGTCGTTTCCTATTTTGATGAACTCATTTTATGGCACAAAGCTCGGTGTGATTTGTGAGAAGTTAAAGGCAACTTAATTAATCTTAAAGGAGATGAAATGGGAAGGAGGAATAGGGAGAAAGAGAGAGGGGGAGGGGGTAGAAGGAGAAGGGGGAAGAGATGCAGAGAGAGGGAGACAGGGAGAGGGAAAAGGAGAGGGAGAGGGAGAAGGAGAGGGAGAGGGAGAAGGAGAGAGAGGGAGGGAGAGGGAGCGAGGAAGAGGGAGAGGGAGTGGGAGAGAGAGGGAGAAGAAGAGATAAAGAAAGAGGGAGAGAAAGGGAGAGGGAGAGAAAAAGAGGGAGAGAAAGGGAATGAGGGAGAGGAGGAGGGGGGGAGAAAGAGAGAGAGGAAGAGGGAGAGAAAGAGAAAGAGACAAACAGACAGACAGACAGACAGACAAGCAGACAGACAGGCAGGCAGGCGGGCAGACAGACAGACAGACTGACAGATAGACACGCAGGTATCAGGCAGACAGACAGAGAGGCAGACAGACATGCAGGCAAACAGAGAGGCAGACAGACAGGCAGGCAGACAGACAGGTAGGCAAACAGATAGACAAACAAGCAGGGAGACAGACACAGAGGCAGACAGACAGGCAGGCAGACAGAGAGGCAGACAGACAGACAGAGAGGCAGACAGACAGATAGACAGACAGAGTGGGTCGTCTCCATCACAATCTCTTCCAGGAATGAAGACCAACATGCTCTCTGCCTAAAGTGGGTTTATTTTTTTTTAATTGAATTCGACCAGTTTCCATTCCCTAGCAGTACACGGAAAATTATCTATTTATTTATATATTTATACGTGCGTGTGTGTAAGTGTGTGTGTGTGTGTGTGTGTGTGTGTGTGTGTGTGTGTGTATGTGTGTGTGTGCGTATATGTATGCGTGTGTGTATTAGAGGTGACCCTGGTAAGACGGACACTACACGTGGCGATCATTTTTTTTGCAAAGACGGCTTGTTGCGAAAAAAACTCGTCCTGTATCGTCGTTCGCTCCTACTTCTGCCATTTATATTTTTTGTTGTAATGCCTTATATCTTATTATTCATTGTATATTACGCCTTGTGCCTGTGTATTCAGGCCTTACGTGTGTGTGTCTCTGTGTGAGTGTCTATTTGGCCATGTCTGCGTTTCGTGTGTATCTCTACAGGACCCGTGTGTGTGTGTGTATGTGTGTGTGTGTGTATGTGTGTGTGTGTGTGTGTGTGTGTGTGTGTGTGTGTGTGTGTGTGTGTGTGTGTGTGTGTGTGTGAGAGAGAGAGAGAGAGAGAGAGAGAGAGAGAGAGAGAGAGAGAGAGCGAGCGCGCGTGTGCGTGTGTGCGTACGTGCGTGAATGTGTACATGTATTTAAAACCTTTGAATTATGTGTTTGAGTGCCAGTGTGTTTGAATATCTATGTATATGTGTATTTTAACGTGTGTATTTGAATATGTATGTAGGTACGTTAACGTGGGCGTCTGAATGTGTTTCAACGTGCGTGCGTGCATCGTACTAACAAGTTCCGTCTCAAGGTTAGCTGGATAAAATCGCCTCGCTTTTTGTTTGTTCCTTTTGGCCAACACTCCCATTCCTCAGCGAAGGAGGCCGAGAGCATCTTCCCCGGACTAAATAACAGTAAGGAAGTTGATTAATATGCTTTGTTATTATAATGACGAGTTTCTTCAATGTAGTGCGTTAAAATCTCCCGTTCAGGTTAATATTCTGTTTTTTAAGGAGTTCGTTGCTGGAAATGCTTTCTTTTGTATAACGTCAAGAGCGATTTTTTTTAAAGATGTTTTCGTTATTTGTCTTTATATAAGCTCAAGTTGTATAAGCAACGTACATTTCTTACGTTCGAATAATGGTTCTAAGTTAAACCTGTTTGAGATTGAAGTGTCTCGGGGATTTCAATACTATGGTAGGTAGTTATCTAAAGAAGAAGGAGAAGAAGAAGAAGAGAGAGAGCTGGAGGAGGAGGAGGGGGAAGAGGAGGAGGAGGGGGAAGAGGAGGAAGAGGGGGAGGTGGAGGAGGGGGAAGGAGGGGGAAGAGGAGGAGGAGGAGGAGGGTGAGAGGAGGAGGAGGAGGAGGAGGAGGTTGAGGAGGAGGAAGAGGGGAAGAGGAGGAGGTGAGGAGGAGGAGGAGGAGGTGGAGGAGGGGAAGAGGAGGAGGTGGAGGAGGGGGAAGAGGAGGAGGTGGAGGAGGGGGAAGAGGAGGAGGAGGAGGAGGAGGAGAAGAAGAAGAAGAAGAAGGAGAAGGAGAAGGAGGAGAGGCAGAAGGAGGAGGAGAAGGAGAAGGAGACAGAGAAGGAAGAGAAGGAGAAAGAAAAGAAGAAGAAGAAAAAAGAGGGAGAGAAGGAGAAGAAGATGAAGGAAAAGAAGGTGAAGGAGAAGATGCAGGAAAAGGAGAGAGATGAGGAGGAAAAGAAGAATGAGAAGAGAAGGAGAGAGAGGAGAAGAAGGAGAAAGAGTGGGAAGCGGAGAAGAGGTAGGGGAAGGAGGAGGAGTAGAAGAAGGAGAAGAATAAGAAAAGGGAAAAGGAGAAATAAAAAGAGAAAGAAAGAGAAAGGCGAAAACGAAGGAAAAGGAAAAGGAGAGAACAAGAGAGAGAGAGAGAGAGAGAGAGAGAGAGAGAGAGAAGAAAGAGAGAAAGAGAGAGAGAGAGAGAGAGAGAGAGAGAGAGAGAGAGAGAGAGAGAGAGAGAGAGAGAGAGAGAGAGAGAGAGAGAGAGAGAGGGAAAGAGAGAGAGAGAGAGAGAATGAAAGAGAGAGAGAGAGAGAGAGAGAGAGAGAGAATGAAAGAGAGAGCGAGAGAGAGAAGAAAGAGAAAGAGAAAGAAGAGAGAGAGAATGAAAGAGAGAGAGAGAGAGAGTGAAAGAGAGAGAGAGAGAATGAAAGATAGAGAGAGAGAGAATGAAAGATAGAGAGAGAGAGAATGAAAGAGAGAGAGAGAGAATGAAAGAGAGAGAGAGAGAGAATGAAAGAGAAAGTGAGAAAGAGAATGAAAGAGAGAGAGAGAGAGAATGAAAGAGAGAGAGAGAGAGAATGAAAGAGAGAGAGAGAGAGAGAGAGAGAAGAGAGAGAGAGCGAGAGAGAGAAGAAAGAGAAAGAGAAAGAAGAGAGAGAGAATGAAATCATGATTAGTTAATATTACATATTTCAATTTACATTATATATTCATTCTATTAATGCAAATATTCACTTTACATTTTCTGAATGAATCTCTTTCTCATAAATTACTAAAAAAATGTAAATAGATTATGGAAACATCTCTTTTTTTAAAGAAATGACTAAAGATGGGAATTCAAAAAAAAAAAAAGTTCACGACTGTACTCTAAAGATTTAATACAAAACGAAGCTCGGGTTACAGCCTATAAAAAATATAGGACTCTACCGAAGCTGTAAAAGACCGTAAAACTTTTATTTATTTTTTTTACCGTACAGCGAGTCTCAAGTTCACCAGCGGCATGCAAGCATATCTTGAGAAATGGCTTCCTCTCTGTTCTTTTGTCTTTTTGCAACTCTCTCTCTTCCGTGAGACACAACAATCGGGCGGAAAAGACGAAACAGTTGTACGAATTGAACGCGCACACAGATACATACATATACGTACATAAATACATTTGGATGTGTATGTGATTCTCTCTCTCTCTCTCTCTCTCTCTCTCTCTCTCTCTCTCTCTCTCTCTCTCTCTCTCTCTCTCTCTCTCTCTCTCTCTCTCTCTCTCTCTCTCTTCTCTCACTTCTCTCTCTCTCTTTCTCTCACTTTCTCTCTTTCTCTCTCTCTCACTTTTTCTATCTCTCTCTCTCTCTATCTATCTATCAATCTGTCTATCTATCTGTCTG